GGGTTAAAGTTACCCCCGGCATCATGGGAGTAGTGCGAGTGGGTTCGTAACTAGTTTGGTTGGAACACACCTTCGTTGAACCCGAAATTAATATTTTGTTTATTTCGTTCACTTAGTTACTTGCTTTTTGCGACCAAACTCCAAAAGATAGATAGAGTTATAGCAAATTAATTCAAATAAAAAATTAAGCTGAATTTTGTAATTATGGTCGCCCCTCGGCAGGGAATATCAACCCCACCGAGTGTATTTTTGACATGAAATAAAGTTCCTCATAAAAGCAGCTAGCGGGAAAATCGCTTCAGCGGTTACAAAGCGCCAATTATATATATATCACATATATACATTGTGTATATATAAACTTTATATATAATAAGCTAGTCACCCACGTCGCCGAGTTGCGTAAGTACGAAGAGCTTAAGAATGTTCGAAAATTCTATGAGAAGGTTCGACGACTTACGGAAGGTTTCAAGACCGGAGCAGACTCTTGTAGAGCACAAAGAGGTGATCTAGCTNAATAAAGTTCCTCATAAAAGCAGCTCGCGGGAAAATCGTTTCAGCGGTTGCAAAGCGCCAATTATATATATATCACATATATACATTGTGTATATATAAACTTTATATATAATAAGCTAGTCACCCACGTCGCCGAGATGCGTAAGTACGAAGAGCTTGAGAATGTTCGAAAATTCTATGAGAAGGTTCGACGACTTACGGAAGGTTTCAAGACCGGAGCAGACTCTTGTAGAGCACAAAGAGGTGATCTAGCTACCAATGTCCAGAGTATATAGTCAAAATGAAACACCTGGAGATGGTCAAACCAAAATTCCAATTGATGATGATAGAAAAGTTGTTCCAGCAGAGCTGTTAGAATGTGGCGATGAAGAGCTGATTAGATGCAGGAATCAGCTCTTTTTGAAAAACATGATCCAAGCCTAAGTGTGCTCTGCCGAATGCACAGAAAAGGCGATCTCACAGTCTACGCCAACTACTGTGGGATATCGCGTATAAAGTCCGATCAAGCGTATTGTGTGAAAGACTGAAGCCCACCGTTAACAAACTAACTGCACTTTATCAGTGTGGCTCTAGATTTAATAAGTCAACTATTGACATGTGCAAGATCTTGGAAAAGATCCGTGAAAAAGAGTTGACACTCACCACCTCTTCATCGATTTTAAAGCCGCCTTCGACAACGCGAATAGAAATAGCCTTTACCCCGCTATGTCTGAATTTGGTATCTCCGCAAAACTTATACGGCTGTATAAACTGACGTTGAAAGACACTAAAAGCTACGTCTGATTCGGGAATGACCTCTCCGAGCCGATCGATGCCAAGTGAAGTTTCAGACAGGCTGATTCCTTATCATGTACTTTCTTTAATTTATTGCTGGAAAAAATAATACGAAACGCAGAGCTAAATAGAGAAGGTACAATCTTCTATAAGAGTGTATAGCTGCTGGCGTACGCCGATGATGTTGACATTTTTGGTCTTAACAACCTTGCCGTTAGTTCTGCTTTCTCTAGGTTTGATAAAAAAAACAAAGCCAATGGGTCTGGTAGCGAACCAGTTTTAACACCAACAACAATGTCAGCCTAGGATTTCAAAGCAGAATCACTCTTGCCAACAGGTGCTACTTTGAACTGAGCAGGCAATTAAAAAGTCAAGTCCTTTCCCGGTATACGGCGCAGAAGAGTGGACGATATCAATATCTGATGAGTCGGCATGATGAGTCTTCGAGGGAAAAGTTTTGCGAACGAAATATGGTTTTTTGCCCATTGGCAACGCAGACCATAGAACGATGAAATTTACGAGCTATTTAATGATATTGACATAGCTCAGAAGCGGCTACGCTGGCTAGGTCATGTCGTTCGAATAGATGAAAGCACTCCAGCTTTGAAAGAATTCGATGCAGTACTCGCTAGTGAAAGTAGAGGAGGAGGAAGTGCTCCACTCCGTTGAATGAATCAGTTGGAGAGCGACCTGGCTTCACTTGGTATTATCAGCTGGTGTCAAACAGCGAAAAGAAGAGGTGAATGGTGCGCAATAATTGATTCGGCTATAATCGTGTAAACGGTTTCAACGCCAATAAAGACAATGTATACACCTTCCGAGATGTACATGGAGGTGTATTGTGCCATACGTTCCGCTGGTAAATTGGTTGTATATTCATATACGATACAGCTTCGTCATCCGGCTTGCTACAAAAGTTGACCATGGGCACGGTGGTTTCCGGATTCAAGCTAAGGCCATTGTTGAGTCAGTCCAGAGACTCATATTTATTTGCCTTAACCGGCGCTACCCTGGCTTTTGCCAAAAGCAGACTTACAGATATGTTATCTTGATTTTAAACTCGCAGATATAATGTCGGAGAGTAGTGGACGCGTCTTGTAATTTTGATATGGTATATAAGCGGACTTACGAATATGTCATCTTGATTTTAAACTTGCAGATATAATGTCGCTGCGTAAGTCTTTTCTGAGGCGTCACAGAATCCATGGATCTCCATATCACCTTTCGGAGTGTATTGCACCCGCAAAAATAATTTTGATTTGGTTTATTTCCGGGTAATTTTATTGAAAATTTTGAGATGGATCCAATATAGTTAGGGATACTGGTTTATCCCAATCAGTGCCTTTTATCCATATGCCCTGCATAAGGATTTTGGTCACAATAATTAAGTGCGCTAGGGTATTAAAAAGTTTTGCGAGTACGGACCACAGTTTACCCCGAAATTAACTGTCTAAAGCTCATACAGACGTCACGATATACTATTCTCTGGAATTTGGTGTGGTGATCGTGCACTTGAATTCGGCGAGACTCTATGTCACTGTTAAAAACATATTTGAAAAGTTGCCAGAGCAGGATTAATATCGGCAAGTCAGACAGTAAGTCAGGTCCGGAATAAATCACGTCGTTTAAGCCATTTCCATTAGCCGTCGGACCGAATGCATTAAACACTATGGAGACCTTCGTAGAGGTGCTCTCTGCTTGATGCTGCAGGAAATCCTGAGATATGTTGTATTCGAGTGTTGCCGTGTGTCCAAGAGTTTCATATGCTAATAAAACTCTGATATATTCCTATTGCAGTGTCGGATTTCTTGCAAGTCGGGCACTTNTTTTATCCATATGCCCTGCATAAGGATTTTTGTCACAATAATTAAGTGCGCTAGGGTATTAAAAAGTTTTGCGAGTATGGACCACAGTTTACCCCAAAATTAAATATGCATTTCCTAACAGATCGTTCCATGGTTCTGAATAACACGAAAATCGAACAACAAATAGGTATTTTTTAAATACATCGGTCGCAGATCTATTTCTTATATTAACTTAAATAAAGAGATATCTATTACGTATATTTCAATTAAAACAAAATATAAAAATATTTTTTTCGAAAAGATCCCTTCTGGATCGTCTTTGTGGGAGAACTCTACTGATTATAACCGAGTAAACAATAGCGTGAGAGGCTTCCATTGCAATGCAACGAGGTGGCAGCCTTTCTTTTTACTACAGAAAGACATTACCTGTCGTACAGTCTTTTTCTGGCAACGTGACAATCCAATGTTTATCGTAACCGTCTACATACAGCGGGAATTTGAGATGCCGTTTTGATTATAGANTTTAAAATAACTAAACCTCCAAAGTTAACACACTTAAGTCAATTATGTAATATCCATTTTGTTGGATTACCTTTTGCATTCTTTTCGGCAACATCCCGCATTTCACGCTCATAGAACTTCATATACAAGTATACAGTTGGCGCATCTAGAGCTCAGTTATACAGGCGGGTTAAAGTTACCCCCGGCATCATGGGAGTAGTGCGAGTGGGTTCGTAACTAGTTTGTTTGGAACACACCTCCGTGGAACCCGAAATTAATATTTTGTTTATTTCGTTCACTTAGTTACTTGCTTTTTACGACCAAACTCCAAAAGATAGATAAAGTTATAGCAAATTAATTCAAATAAAAAATTAAGCTGAATTTTCTAATTGTGGTCGCCCTTCGGCAGGGAATATCAACCCCACCGAGTGTATTTTTGACATGAAATAAAGTTCCTCATAAAAGCAGCTCGCGGGAAAATCGCTTCAGCGGTTACAAATCACCAATTATATATATATCACATATATACATTATATCACCCACGTCGCCTTCACTAAACCGCCCGGTCGCTTGTTAGATTGTTTTGTGACATTCTGCTTTGTGAGGTGATTTGTTTGATCAGGACACGCTGTAACCAACAACCACTGTAGACATATGTAAGTATATACATATGTATATACGTAAATACTTGGACGTCGCAACCTAAATATCAATATTTTTTTCAGTCCAATATGATATACTTAACTTCTTTTCAGCCTCACGCTGACGATCTGATTGGATTAAAGCCTTGATATCTTCGTCATCAACTTCACTTGACCGACCTGAACGTGGCTTATCTTTGATTGAATAATCTCCCGAACAGAATTTTACCAATTCGCCACTAAGTTTATTTGAAGCCTTATCCCCATACAATCTGTGCAACTTTTTTTAAAGGAATTAATAAAGTAAATATGACGAAATTGTTTTTTGCGGGTTCCATTTTAAAATTGACGGCAAACAAACAAGTATAAAAAAAGTTACGCGAACGCTAAAAGTGACAACTTATAACTGTTAAAAGAAAAAATACAATTAAATAGTCACAAGCTGTTTGTATTTGTATTTTTGAGTCATGATGTGTTTCCAACAAATGGAATGATGGTTTATGAAGGCATTCCTTGTCGAGGGGGAGAACAAATAGTTTTCTTAGCTTAAGGCCTACCACCTATAGCTCCTAAGCAAATAGCTTGTTAGATTTATGTTGTAATCTATATTTTATTTAAATAAAAAAATAATAATTACAAAAACCCCCAATGGTTTTTATATATTTTGACCGTAAAAGTTGTTTTTGTTGCTGGGATTTACTGGCTACCGTCGCCACTGTTGCTATTTCTTGCTCTTAGTTATAATTCAAATCTGAGAAGCTTAGAATTAATTTGTGATTGTTGGGCAGTTTTGCATTGTCTTCTTGAAGACAATCTTCTTGAAGACAATGTTAGAATGTGTTTATTGGGCATATACAATGCATATATACATTTTGTATCAACATACACATACATTATAAAGTAAAATAACTCTATTATTAGAAAATCAAGCAGACTGCTACCAAAAACATTGGTGAGTATTTGAAGCTCTAGTAGCATTGTCCTTCATGTAATTGCACCATAACAGGAATGTTAAAATGAGCATCCTGCACTCGCGGATCACAAACACTATTGTGTATGGCATCGCTCACACTAGCACGTACTATGCGAAAATTAACTTCGCTGTAATCCAACATACCATACAAATAAATAGGCAACTTATTGCTCATTACCCACAGTCCTTGATCGCGTTCCTTATCCACTTTCAAATCGTTGGGAAATTGCACCAAATTTTGTCCACGGCTTAGGAGCATAGCCAAATTAGCGCGAACATATGGTTTAGCGGTATTCCAGCAAGCCACATTATCTCGATGAACCTGAGTGTAGAACATAATACCATTTCGCGCTATCCCAGCTGAGGAGGACTGCCCTAAATTTCCACGGTCCCCGATTTCAACGAAATATTTGGCAATCTCTTGGGCTCGAGCAGGCCAAAGGCTTTCATTTTGTAGCAGCTTTGTTGAAATAGAAAATTCCTAAAAGCAGTACACACTTCATTAGTTTGCTCAACAACAATGAAATATCCTTGAATATATAAGTCCATCAAAGTCTATTGTTACCTTAAAGCTGGCCATGGGATGAAAATATAGTATACGTTCGGCAGTGGGACGTTTCACTTCCTCGTCCAACGATAAGCTCATTCCGAATACACCGTCTAACCACTGAAAGTTTAGTCCATAAACATTAAAATCAGAGGCAATCGGATTGGGAATAAAGTTATAGTTGGTTACACGCCAGCTTCGGTTTTCAGCTAAGCTATAGACGACCATACCAAAACGCCAGACATCCGTTACATAGACGTATGCATTCTCGCACTGATCGGTAAGCACATCGGCCAAAATATTTGAGTGTAAAGAGTCCTGCTTCACTTGATCTGGAGGTAGCGTGAAACTGACTACTCTTTTATCGGTGGCCAAATCAAAAGCAACAATCTTCGGTTGACAAATCTGATTTAGATTGGCCGTAGCGTTCACAATGCCGGAGTCAATCACCCACAGGCGGCCACATGAGTCGATTGAGGATCGATAAACAGATATAAGTTTACTACAATCGAGTTCTTGAATATTGCTGTGAGAACCCCAATCCGGGTAGGGTCGTAAGGCAGGACTGCGTTCTTTTGGTGGATATGGTAAGTAAGAAAGACTTACTGGTACACCATCTTTCCATCGTGGTGTAGTTATGAATAATCGATCGCCATAAACGTCAATACCCAATGGAAGATTATTTTCTGGAATAAAATCTCTAAACAAAATTAATTACAGTAATTTAACACATGATAAAATTATAAAAACTGAACTATTTTTTATGCAAATCAAAAATAAAAACTAGAATCAGCTATCCACCGATAATACAAGAATTATAGTACGAATTTTGACTTCTTGTATAACAACAACCAACCCCGACTAATCCATACACATATATTACTTCAATGGCTTTAACAATATTGCGCCATTCGTTTCTTATTTTTGCTGTTTGCCGCCAATTGGAAATACCAAGTACTGCCTGGTTCTTCTCAACCTTCCAAAGGAGTGGAGGTCTTACCCTTCCTCTGCTTCCACCGGCGCGTTCTGCATCGCCAAAAGACTAAAAGTGGAGTATTCCCATACATGCGGACTACATTACGTAGCCAGCGTAGCCGCTGCTTCTTGAACTATATCAATGAAGCCGTTATCTATGCGCAAAGGACTATACACCTTATGCAAAACCTTTCCCTCGAAAACTCCCTACGCCGACTCATCAGATATTGTCATCGTCGGGATCTGCACTATATAGAGGAAAGTACCTTACTATTGGCAAGAGTGATTCCGCGTTAGATTTCAAGACTGACATTGTTATTGATGTTGATGCTGGTTTCTAGATAGACGAAATTATCTACGACTTCAAAATTATTACTGTCAACAGTGACATGGAAGCTGAGTCGCGAATGTGACGACTGTTTGAGTGATGACAGGAGAAATTTGCCCTCATTCACTACCATACCCATGTCCTCCGTTGAGGCAAACAATGTTAATATGAGCGGCGTACACCAGCAGCTGTACATTCTTAAAGAAGATTGTACCTTCTCTGTTCAGCTGCGCAGGTCGTATTATTTCCTCCAGCAATAAATATAAAAAGTCGCACGATAAAGAATCACCCTGTCTGAAGCCTCCTTTGCTATCGAACCGCTCAAAGAGGTCCTGACGGAGCTTTTAGTATTTCTAAACGTCACTTTACACAGCTTTATAAATATTACGGGGATGCCAAATTCAAACATAGCGGCGTAAATGCAGCTCCTATTCGTGTTGTAGAAGGCTTCTTTAAAATCAACGAAAAGGTAGTAGGTGTCGATAGGACCTTATAGGCGATATTAAGGAGGCCAATCCCACGGTATTTGGCGCAGACTGCGGGGTCCCCTTTTTTATGGATTGGGCAAAGGACACTTAAATTGGTAGGCAGTCTGGTTTCTCTCCACTGCGACACGGCAGTCCTCACCGTACCATCTGTTTTTCTACCTTTACGAAATCCAATAGTTTCGAACGTAAAGAGCGTGAAATTCCGCTCCACAGGTCTTGTATACCGAGTTGCTGATGAGTGATTTCAGGGAGCACTAGTCAAAGTCGAGTAGAAAATCACTCTGCAGTATGTCGCGATTGCAGCTATTCAACGATGAACTTCCCTTGTGATTGTTGATGGGCGTTCTGTGATACACAGGGGCGCATGCGTCTCTTCGCTGCAACAAGATAATGGTCGGAGTCGACACGGGAGACAGCCAAGTATCTTGATGTATTCCTTTGGCCTGGAATCTAGTACTACAGATCACAATATTTCGAGCTCCGGCAAAGTCGATCAGCTTCAACCCATTAGACGATGTTTCGTTGTGAAATTTCCAACAGTCATTCCAAAGATACCTTTTTTGCCCCCCCCCCTGACATTAATATCGCAAAGCGCGATTTTCACATCGGGAGCAGCGTTCGTTAGTGAGCTCTAGATGCTCATAAAAGGCTTCTTTGGCCAAATTTCGTCAACAGAAAGGGGTATCTTAAACGAGCCGCAGTCGCACCTCTGGTGAACAGACGCTGGAATAAGACCTCAGCAGACCCTTAAACCGAATAAGTCGGAGTGGCTCCACTGAAGATTCCTTTCTCATTAGCCGTGACCCAAGGCTCTACTTGGGTTGGTTACCGCAGCTTGCAAAAGGGTTGCTCAGATGCGCGACGTGAACGCAAGAGTAGGCATTGAGTATAGCCTCTCAACTTTAACAGTATACCCAGAAGCTTGACTATTACATTCGGACAGAATTTGAATACAATTCGCTTTGTTCAAAACACCCATACAAACGTATATTCTTATCCGCTTTATTTTACAGTTCTTCACCGATAAGGCCAAAAACGTTAGCCAGACAGCTGAAAATGTAAATGGCGTTTATGGCCCTGTTACTGTAATTATGCGCAATTTCGGTTTCGTCGATTCTGTTCCGGTAATTTCCATGTCAAAGATACGCCACGCTCTGGAAGGCCAATTGTCGAAAAAGTTCATAAAGTCATGGGTACTGTCGAGTCCGATCGTCATGCAAGCACTGTTTCGATTGCCTAAGAGCTAAAAATCGCACAAAAACCGTTTGGAATCATTTGAACAAGGCTGGACACGAACAGAAGCTTGATGAATGGGTGCCACACGAGTTAAGGCAAAAAAAAGCAGATGGACTGAATTTCCATCTGTAAAAAGCTGCTGAATCGCAACAAAATCGACAATGAATATTGGATCACTTACGACAACGTCAAGCGAAAACGGTGGTCGTAAAGCGATGACCCGTGGGTCTGTATGTTTGATTGGCAGCAGTTATCTAATATGAGCTGCTCCCGGCAAAACTCTTAACACGGAACTGCACTATCAACAATTGGATTGTCGGAAGGAAGCAATCGCCTGGCCCACATATCGATAGTGACTCGCCAGAGCCCATATTATAGTCTAGTCTTGACACCAAGTGATTATTTCTGTTCCTGTCCATGGCAAACATGTGGAAATCGACTGTCTCAATTTTTTGCCATAAGAAACGAGGATCTATATGAGAGAAGCGTAATGAAAGTACCTTTGAAATGGTTACAAAATATCGAACAAATCGAACTATGGTAAATCGGATCGTTCTCAATATGGTAATTAAAGACTTCAATTTCATGCAAAAATAATGGATTGCTTTTTACTACACATAATAAATAACATACCTAAGTAAAATGTGAATAAATGCTTGTTTTTTTCGAGTATGTAGTTTTTTTTCACATATGCATTAGTTGAATTCTACACTTAGCATTGAACCCGATACAAGTATAAATTTCATGAATTATATTATAGTTAGACATATGTATATATATGCAAAAAACATTATTTAGTTTCTGAGTGCCTTAGCGTTTACATTTCCGCATTCAATGTGATCATTGTAACCAAGAATTTCGTAAATAATACTACAAAAATGTATTACAACAAAAATATACCACAGAAATAAGAGTAGATATATACGATTGTCAAATATCTCCCTTCCACTTTTTTGTCTTTTGAATTTCGCGGCTATGTACAAAGCGCTACAGAGCTCGTATCTGGCAACACTATACACAATTTGAAAGGTCTTGACATAACCTTCAAAACAACGCATGATTAGTTTGGATATTGCGTTCAACAGTTATAGACGTATAAACATGGAGTTCACTAACGCCGAAATTCGCGCTATTTTTAAGTTTTCCTTCGTTAAAGGCAAATCCGCTAAAGAAACGTTCCGTGAGATTAATGGTGTTTTGGGGTATGATACTCTATCACTTCGAACCACGGAGGGATGGTTTCGACGATTCAGAGCCGGTGAAAACGACACCATGGATAAGCCAGCCGGCGGAAGAACTGTGAAAATACCGATCAAATCATGGAATACATCGAGTTAGACCGGTATATGGCATCTCGTGACATCGCCCAGGAGATGGGAGTTAGTCACCAAACCATTTTGAACCATCTGCAGAAGGCTGGATACAAAAAAAAGTTTGATGTTTGTGTGCCGCATAATTTGACGCAAAAAACCCTTCTGGACCTAATCAACGCCTGCGATATGCTGCTGAAACGGAACGAGCTCGACCCATTCTTCAAGCGGATGGTGACTGCCGACGAGGTTTTATCGCATCCAACATATAGCCCGAACGTAGCGCCAAGTGATTACCACCTGTTCCTGTTCATGGTGAATGCCCTTGATGGTGTGAAGTTGAACTCAAAAGAGGCTTGTGAAAAGTGGCTGATGAAAGCAGAATTAAGTAATACGACAACGCATACAGCAAGTTTTAAGAAAGAATTTGCATCTTAACACTCATAAAGTGCCTAAATCGCGGTTAACGGATGGACATAAAAAGGCGCGCATTGCCTTCTCCGAAAACTACAAGTTCTGGGACGACCATTTCGAAACAATTATCTTTAGTGATGAAAAGAAATTTAATTTAGATGGTCCAGATGGATATCTTAAGTTTTGGAGAGATATATGTCATCTTCGGCAACTTGCTACAAACAAAACTATGATGGTGGATCACTTATGGTATTAAAGCTAAAGAAAAATTTCCAATATATTTTATTTGAAGCCGTATAAGCACATGCACTTGAGAAGTCTGCAGTTGAATTTTTTGAATCGCACAAAATTCCTCTATTGCAGTGGAAGGCTCCAAGTTGCGAATGGAATTCAGGAGGGGAAAGGCTCCGTCTCCGAGTACTGGCATTCACTCCGGTGGATGAACGTTTCGCTATAATCTGAACTCAAAATGAAATTCCTTAACACTTCGCTGATTTGTGCCCTCGCCCCGACAAAGTTGTGCTTGGCGACTTTAACGCTAGGTAAGCAAGAAAGGTATCTTTGCTACGACTCTCGGAAAACTCAGCCTCCAAGATGAAACATCCCTGAAACATGGGCTGAGGCTGATCGACTTCGCCGGGACCCGAAATAAGGTTGGCTGCAGCACTAGATTACAGCACAAGAAAATGCACTAAGCTACTTGGCTGTATCCAGATCCAAACCACACATGCATATCGATCATGTTGTAATAGACGGAAGACATGTATCCAATATTTTAGAAGTGCGTCCGTTTCAAGGTCCTAACATCGACCCGGATCACTATTTTGTCGCAGCGAAGATACGCATGCGCGTCTGTGCATCGAAGAACGTCCGTCAACCAACACAAGGAAGTTTCGACGCTAAAAATCTGAATTCACGACAGACTTCCGAGCGGTTTTCTCCTCGACAT